ATGGGTGCTCACTGCAGTTTGTAATGCATCTCATTAAATACATTAATAACATGCATTTCACTAAGAGGTCAACTTATTATGGCTGAAATTTGGCTTTCCTTTAATCACTTCATTTAAAGCTATAGAGCAAACTCTGAGAAAGATAGTAGAGAGTGCCTGTTACAGAAATGCTCTCTCAATTCTCCCATCCATTAAAATCAGTTATGCTTATTAAGAAATCACCGTTAATGTTTTTACGTGAATAACAATATTGTGATTTTTTTTTTCTTTTTTAAAGATTTATTTATTTGAGAGAAAGAGAGAGTATACACGCACACATAAGCGGGGGTAGGGGTAAGGGGAGAGGATCCCAAGTACACTCACTGCTGAGCAGGGAGCCTGAGACCCTGAGATCATGACCTGAACTGAAATCAAGAATCAGATACTTAACTGACTGAGCCATCCAGGTGCCCCAGTATTGTGATTTTTTAAGAAACCCTTTTAGAGATACATGCTGATTTACTGATAAAATGACAGAATGTCTACTCCAAACTCCTAGTTCCAAACTAATCCAGAAATAGAGGGAGAGCTAGTATAAATACAGATGAAATAAGATTGGCCAGGAATTGATGACTGCTTAGCTGGTAAAGGTATGTGGGTTCAAATTCTCCATGCTTTCATATAAGTTTGATATACTCAGGTTTCCTTAAGTAACTTGCCTTCTTCCTTACACATTGCTGCCTCCTAAATCTGTAGAACTTTTTAAAAAGAAAATCAGAGAGGAAAAGGTAACCTCTTTAGAGAAATGCTTTTGGCACAGAAAAATCCCTTAATTTTGCTAAGGTTACTTTATGACTTACCAATTATGCAACTACTAAAATATCAAAAAATGTCTGAAATTACTTAACACTTCAAGAGTTATAATTACCAACACGTAACACCAAGGTGACTGGGGACTTAAGTGCACGTGTGTTGGGGAAGGAAGGAGATACTTACGTAGTTTCTGAAAAACAGAGTTTAGGGTGCTGACGTTAGAATGGCAGGCTGCTCATCAGTTTACTGTGGTTAAAATCTGCTGCTTTAGAGGCTATTTTAGGACTATGAGAGTAAACAGCAGTGACAAGAGAGAACATATCAAGAAAACACAACCTGAGAACAGGATCCCACACACAATGAAACTGAAGTTGAGAGGGTAAAAGGTGTCCGAAACCAGAAGAAATCAGAAAGGCAGGAGAACCCAAATAGCTTTCATAGTGTCACCAAAGCCAAAGGCAATATTTCAAGGAAAAAGGTTGAATGCTTCAAGGAGGTAGCAGCTGGCTTTGGTGACAAGGAAATCTCTGGTCATCTTTTCATAGTTACAAAACGAAAGCTGAATTATAAGCATTAAAGAAAAAAGTAACACTACACTTTCCAGAATGAATGCTTAATTTAAGTTATACAGGAAATCTGAATACTAATAAAAGTCAAAAAATACTGAAGACCGTGGGGATGATGGTCATTACACTGATGGCCATCATTCACATGGCTGATTATTACCAAATGCCTCTTCCAGCAGAAAAATACCCACACCTAACATCTGTGGGGCCTGTGTGCCAGCCACTGTGCCAATGCTTTATACTGACCATGTCCTTCAATCCTCACAACCATACTATCGCCCTCTTGCTGTGAAGTTAAGTAACCTGCCCAAGGTCACAGAGGTAAATCCACTGCTGAGATGGAATCTAAAGCCAGGCAATCTAACTTTAACTCCTTTAAGACCCAGCAAACTGACAAGAGATTTAATTAAAGACAGTAAGTTCCAGTGCCTGTTCTGGGGTCAGTATCAATTCAGCCTAGGTTCCATACCAGCCATAGAGACAGTATTAATGGTGCATCCAGAGTAATGCAGCCCAGTTTTTCTTAAACTATTTACCAACACAGGGAGGTATACAACATATTATGTCATACTGTCATAAGAAGATTGAAAACAAACAAAAAGTAGCCACCCTGGGGTGCCTGGCTGGTTCAGTTGGTAGAGCATGCAACTCTTGATCTTGGGGTTATGAGTTCTGAGCCCCTTGTTCGGTACAGAGATGACTTAAAAATAAAACCTCAGGGGCACCTGGATGGCACAGTTGGTCGAGTGTCCGACTCTTGGTTTCCACTCAGGTCATGATCTCAGGGTTGTGAGACTGGGCTCTGTGCTCAGCGCAGAGTCTGCTTGGGACCCTCTCTCCCTCTCCCTCTGCCCCTCCACCCCATGCTTTCTCTCTCAAATAAATGAATCTTTAAAAAGAAATCTGAAAAGGGGCGCCTGGGTGGCTCAGTTGGTTAAGCGGCTGCCTTCGGCTCAGGACATGATCCCAGGGTCCTGGGATCGAGCCCCACATCGGGCTCTCTGCTCAGCGGGAAGCCTGCTTCTCCCTCTCCCACTCCCCCTGCTCATGTTCCCTCTCCCGCTGTATTTCTCTCTGTCAAATAAATAAATAAATAAATAAAATCTTAAAAAAAAAAATTAGCCACCCTTCAGATGTGCAGAAATCCTACTTAGAATACTCTCCACTCTCCCATCTTAGAATATGTGACACTAAACAAACATGCCTTTCTTCTCCCTCCTCCACTGCAACCCACCCTGTCAGATTGTAACAGACATCTGTCACATTAACTGGAATTTACCCATGAGACAAAGAGGAAATTGGTTAAGTACAAAAAAGATTAAGAAGATCAGAACACTTGCAAATAATATTAAAGTAGCTAAAGAAACTAGTACCCAAGAATAAGAATGTGTCAACCTGACATGGACTAACCCTTAAAATAGCAGTATTTTAAGATGAATCCAAAAAAGGGGCGCCTGGGTGGCTCAGTCGTTAGGCGTCTGCCTTCGGCTCAGGTCATGATCTCAGGGTCCTGGGATCAAGCCCCGCATCGGACTCCCTGCTCAGCGGGGAGCCTGCTTCTCCCTCTCCCTCTCCCCCTGCTTGTGTTCCCTCTCTCGCATTGTCTCTCTCTGTCAAATAAATAAATAAAATCTTAAAAAAAAAAGAAGGAAAGGATCAAGCAAGAAGAGTAATAAATAACAAAATGGGAAAGGTCTCATGAAACACTTCAGACATTTAACCTAGAGCAGTCTAGGTCTCTCCAAAGCATACCAAGAATTAGGGTACCAGGGCATTAAAAACAGCAGAGAAATGGGGCGCCTGGCCCGCTCAGTCGGTAGGGCATGCAACTCTTGATCTTGGCTTCGTGAGTTCAAGCCCCATGTTGGGCAAAGAATTTACTTAAAAAGAAAAAGAAAATAGCAGGTAAGTGCTCCAAAAATCTCAAAAATTTTGAAAACTGCCAACCATCATTTATTTAAGGGAAGAAGGGGGGAAATCTAATAGAGGGGGATATGAAAGTTCTACCCTCACAATATCTGCAGGGTTCCTGACTTCAAGTATGGCAGGACATAAAATCTACAGGCTGGACCCTAAGAAGCAATTCCTAATTAAAGCAGGTATTCTGGTGCCCCTGGCTGGCTGAGTCGGTAGAGCATGCGACTCTTGATCTCTGGGTTGTGAGTTCAAGCGCCATGTGCGGCATAGAGTTCATGTAAAAAAAAAAAAAAAAAAAAAAAAAAAGCTGGTATTTTCCCACAAGAAAGGTTTGCAGAATCCCCCACCCTAGAAATCCTACATATTTATTTTGAAGTTTGAGGTGATTCTACCTGGAGGCAGATGTCCTCCTCAGGGCCCTTCCAATTCTAACTCCACAACACTATAAAAACAAGTTTTGGGGCGCCTGGGTGGCTCAGTCGGTTAAGCGTCTGCCTTCAGCTTGGATCATGCATGATCCCAGAGTCCTGGGATGGAGCCCCACGTCGGGCTCCCTGCTCAGCAGAGTCTGCTTCTCCCTCTACCTCTGCCCCTCCTACCCCCACTTGTGCACTCTCTCTCTTTCTCTTAAATAAATAAATCTTAAAAAAAAAACACAAAAAACAAGTTTTAAAGAGCAAATGAAAACACTTAGGTCTCAGCATGCAAATAGGAATAGCAATTCCAACCACAGTGCACTAAGCCCAAATCTCCCTCTGTACCCATCCTTTGGTGTCCTTGGGCACATAGCACACAGCCCACAGGGGGTAAGGTGGTGCAGAAGGAAGACTTCTCAACAGTAAGGCAGGAAAGCCGGAGTTTGGTCTGCTGTGCATGAGCAAGCTCTCTAACTCTGGGCAACTCATTCTCTCTGGGTCCTGGTTTTCTCATCTGTAAAATGAGGGGACTGCAAACCAAATAATTTCTAAATCCCTCTTCTACAATTCTTGGGCTTTATAGCTCAGCAATTCTCTCCCAAAACTTTCCTCACTCTGCAGTCATCACCTTTCCTCACTCTATGCAACCCAAAGAGAGATATAAATAAGATTGCCTTAGCATGTTTTCTAGAAACCTCCCAACAAAGAAAAGCATTTTGTAAGCATGATACTACCAAAATGAACAGGGATCAGCCATTCATTGTCTCTCTTCTGTTCTATACCAGCGGGTTTGCAAATAGAATCCTCTGAGCACTAAAGAAGTAACTCAGAAAGCCAAGGGAAGGAGGAGGATGAAAGTGAAGGCAGGTAAGAGAAAAGTGGAACAGGGGCACCTGGGTGGCTCAGTCAGTTGAGCATCTGACTCTTGATTTCAGCTCAGGTCATGATCTTGGGGTCCTGGGATCAAGCCCATGATGGGCTCCATGTGCAGCAGGGAGTCTGCTTGTCCCTCCCCCTCTGCTCCTCCCCCCCCTTCCTCTCTCTCTCAAATAAATACATAAATAGAATCTTCAAAAAAAAAAAGAAAGAAAAGTGGAATAGACATGACACAAGTACCCAATCCATTTCAATCAAAGTTGTCCTCATTTGATAAGAGTTATATTGTTTTTTTAAAAAAAGGTAAATACCATTCTGTACCATATTATCACTAAAATCAAATCTTCCCTTCCTCAACTCGGTGGTGCTACAAATACAATCCCAATGTACCCCAGTGGTTCTAAGTATCCCCAGATGGTATAAGTATTCTTACTATTTTTTAGGGCGCTGGCAAATTCTGGGCCACCTTTGTTCTTGAAAATAGGGAAAACATCTGGTTGAGGAAGTTGATTGGTGGTCAACAGAGCTTTTTGTAGCTTGATCCTTCCTTCCAAGAGCTGGTCCCACAGTGCTAAGAAAGAAAAAAGAATTTCATTCCTCAGTTACAAAATCTTCCTGGTTGGGGGTGGGGGGGATAGGAAATCACAGCAGTCTCTACGAAGCACGGCTTTATCACAGCTTCTTGCCATGAAAATACTTGCCATTATAAGAAATAAATTCAGTATCTTGGAAGCAAATATTTGCTATACGAGAGAGGGAATGCTAAAGTCCAAAGAAAAAACTGTTTTCTCTTTAATATCCCATAGCTGTGAAAGGACTAGAACAGAACCAGCTAAGCAGCTCAGTGTAGAAATGACTGGCTAAGCAGAGAAGAATGGGGCTTTAAGCCTCTAGGTAGGTGAGGCATATCACAAATTAACTGGAATGACACAGGAGCGAGGGGATAGCCAAAACAGGAGATCCAATGCAGACACCGTGAAAAATAAGCCAACAGCAAAACCGTGTACAAACCTATCTGATTCTTCACAGCTCTTCCTTTCTCCACTTCCTCAGAAACTCTGGCACCGGAGAAGGTCATCACTACACCGTCATCTTCACTATTCCTGTCTTCAGCCCTGTCTTCCTCACTCTCACCCTCGGAGTCTTCCTCCCCATCCCCTTCTTCCATGCCACTCTCCTCCTCCTCTTCATCTTCCTCCTCCTCACTGCTACCAAGGTCATCCATTCCCTCGGTGAATTTTTCAAAGTCACTGATGCTCTGGACACTAAAACCTGGTGTTTTTCCAGGGCGGCTTCGGCTCTTCTTCCAGGCCGGATTACTGTCCTTGTCATTATCACACTCCTCTTGCTCAGCAGCACTCATGACATCCTCATCAGATCCCTCCAGACCCAGCCCGTCTGAATCTCCATCTCTAGACTCTCCCTCATCAGATATCTCCTTGTCTAAACAAGAGACGAAAGAAGGAAAAAAAGACAGATGTCACTGAGACAAATACTAGGGTGTATCTTTCATTTTGAGTAAAGGATTACAGTATCCATCAAAAAAATAAAATGTATTATTGTACTCAATTCAATTCAAATATTTATTGTACATCTACTATCTCTAAAATGCTAAAGGGAGAAGCAGAGATGAACAAAACATGGGTCTTACCCTAACGAAAGGTTCTAGTGGGAAAAACAGACCCTTTGAAACTGTAACACTGACAAGACTTGATAAAATTTTATAACCCAGAGAAGGGAGAAATTTTAAGTGTGGGGCAAGTGGATTTAAACAAGGCTTTTAAGAAAGAGGTAGCCTTTGGTCTGGACCTTGGAGAATGGTAAGATTTTTGGGTAACTGGGAATTAACAGTTTTCCCAAACCCACATCTGAAAAAATATAATTTAACATTAACTATCCCAAATGTACAATCTCCATCACACCAGTGTACCCTATTTTTTAAATACTTATTAAGTATCTATTATGAGCCAGGTATAGATAAAAGCTAAGAAATGACAAGTAGATTGTAATACCTGTGGGGAGGGGTCCATAGCCTGGTGGGAGTGGTAGATATGCATGCCAACATTCATATCATTATTATTATAGTGTCATTAGTACACAGTGTATGGAAAAGGATCCATCTAACTCTCCTGAAAGAGTGAGGAATTGGCTTCATGTGAAGGAGACATAATTTTCCTGATTAAACATAAGTAACAGCTTATGTGATAGGTCTTCAATACTTCTTTAAAGAATTACATATAAACTCAAGACATGGAGAGGGCTGTCAAAATGTAAATACAAAAACTAAGTGCAAAAATAGTAAGCAGAAATTAATCATTTAAGTTCTTTAAATGTGTGCCATTTCTCAGATTAAGGTATATTCATAGAGTAGTAGTTAGGAGTATAGATCTTGGAATCAGACTGCCTTATTTGAATCCTGGCTCTTCTGCTTACTAGCTATATGACCTTGAGCAAGTTACAAAGCCAATCCGTCCCTCAATTTCCTTACCTGTAAAATGGGGATAAATACTACCAACTTCATAAACTATTGGGAGTGTCAAATGAAATGATACATGTAATAATAACAGTAACAACATCTTTTGAAGACTTATTGTGTTCCAGTCTCTTAGCACTTAAAGAACTTACTACAATGCCTGACATATGCTGAAAGCCCAATAAATATAACATTTGTTTCATGATTGGTCCCTTTATCACTCTCTAGGCAAAGAATGTGAAATGAACTTATCAGAAGCCCCCAGAACTATATCAAGGGCCAAATCATAGTGATGAATGATAGTTACTTTTATAGTTATTTGTGGATTCTCAACATGGAACCTCTCTAAAGGAAAAAAAAAGATGGCATCCACTCAATAATTACCATATCCAGCCCCTCCCTTTTTTCACTGAGAAACTTACAATGTTTTAAAACTATAAGCTCATGTCCTCACATCCTCCTAAGGCTCTTGCAGGGGAGAGGGAAGGATTATGCTATTTTTACAATGGCAAGCTCATTTTGAGCTTCACAAATTACTGTTATACAGTGACCCAATGCAAGACTTGAAAAACCAAAAGAAAAGGGTCAAAATCCATGAGTAGCATGTTCATCAGATGCAATTCTTTTCCACACATAGCCCTCTCCAATATCCAATATGCACTGTCTTTCCTCTCCATTTTAGGGTGAACCATTAGGCTAAATATAAGGATTATAGAAACTTAATAGATCTGAGCTTTAGATTGCTTATGAACTGAAATTAAGTACCTCTTAAGGTCCTTCCTAATGCCAAAATCATGGTCTCTTCTGAGACAGTAAGTGGGGGCACACACACAGACTAGTCTTGCAGAGATCATCCAAAAAAACAAAAAACACCCCAAACACAACTTTAACCTTAAAAAAGTAGGAAAGTCAGGGCGCCTGGGTGGCTCAGTCGTTAAGCATCTGCCTTCTGCTCAGGTCGTGATCCCAGGGTCCTGGGATCGAGTCCCACATCGGGCTCCCTGCTCAGCGGGAAGCCTGCTTCTCCCTCTCCCACTCCCCCTGCTGTGTTCCCCCTCTCGCTGTCTCTCTCTCTCTGTCAAATAAACAAATAAAATCTTAAAAAAAAAAAAAGTAGGAAAGAAAAAGTACCATGCAAATGTCTACTCACCAGATGAACCTGGCAGAGTCTGCTCCCAATGGTCCTCCTTCCAAGCTTTTCTAGAGGTAGCCTTGCCAGAATACCTTTTGTCTGTGTCCAAGAGGGAGGCTGATGCCAGTTTTCTAATGCTACCCACAGCCAGGAAATGACCTTCCCCATCTTCCCCTTCATCAAACCTGTCAATCACTCTGGCAGCAGTGGCTGCAGGGGAGGGGGGAAAGTAATCAGAATCTCCAGGTTAGAAGGAACTTTAATGGTAACCCTATCCAACCCTTTTAACTCATACTCTACAAAACCCCAACCAACTTCCAGGAAGAGGAAACTCATCACCTCTCAAGATAGACCAGTACCTTACTGCTGTTCCTGAACAGAAAGCTGACCTCTGCACTACTAGTAGGACATATTTCTATGCCTTGGATCATAAAAACGAGCCTAATTCCTCTTCATTTCTGACAGTCACGCAAATATTGTAAGTCAGCCATCTATCCTCACTCCATCCCATCCCTAAGGGAGTTTGCTTATCCTGACTCAACAGCCTCAGCTCCTTCACCTGATATTCCTAAGACACGATCCAGCACTCATATTTATCCTTCCTTATTCTTCCTTCCTCACACTTCTCTGATTCAAGTCTAAAGCAGGATTACTCCCAACTAGACCTTGAACACCAACTTACAGAGCAGCAGTCTCAGTCAGTCAGCCCCTGAGCAAGTGTCTTGAGGCCTAAGGGGGCTTAACAGCACCACGGAAACCCACTTCTTCCTTCAGTCTCCAAGTAAGTTCTTAGGGGCAGGCCGACTTAAAAAACGGCTGAGACTTCTTCTCATTTCTAACTCAATACCAGTCAGGGGATCCTGAAAGATAACTTCCAGCCAGCTACCAGACCCGAGCTCCCTGCAACAGCCCTGGAAGACTGAGTGGCCGGGATGCTCCGCCCACCCGAGCACCAAGTCTAGCGTGCGGGTCAGGAAGAAGCCGAAGCCCTCCTCCCGAGCCCGGGGCAACCCTCCCGGGGGGCTGTTTTCCTCCGCGCCAGGGTCGAGCCGAGTAGGCCAGGCGCCGAGGCCTGGCTGCCGACCCCGCTCGCGCCGCCAGGGTCTGCCCTGGGCCGGACCCACCGCTCCGCACGTGGCCTTTTCCCAGTCAGGCCTCACCCTCCTCTGGGTCGGCCTCAGGATCTGCCTCGCGCGGGCGCGGGTTCAACAGCTGTTCCAGCTGCAGCGCCAGCGGCCCCGCCATCGTCACCAGGTCTCGCTCCGCGCCGCGCTCGTCAGTGTGCAGCCCCCGCCCGGACGCTCTCTCCCAGCCGGACCCTGCCGCCGGGAGACTACCTCTCAGAACAGCCAGGGACCGCGCAGGACCGGGCTCTCGCTCGCGGCCGGCCACTTCCGGGAGGTGCGCGGGAGGGGGCGGGGCCTGCGTGTCTCTACGGGCGTTGCTAGGAAGAAGGCGGAAGCGCGCGAAAGGCTGTAGGGATTGTCGCGGTCCCGGCGCGCGTGCGCGGGCGCGGAGGGGGTGTGTGGGGCGGTCCGGGAGCGCGCGAGGGCACGTGGCCGCCGTTGGCGCGGAACAGACGTTGCCGTGCGCGCGGCCCTTGTCCCCTTGCGTAGAATATGCTTCAAGATTTGTCCGAGATTCGCTTAGAAATAAAGTGTGGTGTGGCCGTGGCCTATGGTGGCTGATTTGAAAAAGAAGGGGGAGTAAAGGGTAAGCATCTCCAGCCTCAGGTGCGCTTTCGGGCACTCAGAGACTGGGACCAAGACAGGTTTGGCATTTAACAAGTTGGAGGAGTCTGGGGGCCGGGCACACGCTTGTGACCCCGTGGTGGTCAGGATTTAAGAATCCTGCGTCAGGGCTGTGCATGTATAAGTGTGCGGCGGACTCTTGGCGTCGTTATTAATAGGAATAATTAGGAGTCGCTCCGACTGTTCATAAATAAAGATCGATTCTGTAGTTTCTCCAAGTAGCCTTGAATTAGGGAAAAGGGGGTGGTGACGATTACTTCATACCCTCATTATTGATACCTGTTCAAAGGGGAAGGCATACTCAGACACTTGAACACAATGCAGAAAAACTCACGCCTACCTTAGAGGGGCACAGGTAGACTCAGAATATAAAGACTTAATAGGATCAATTTAATTACACCCAGTCACATGGAAAGATACAATCCCTTTATATTCTTTCCTTCATGAAGCATTCCCTAACTGCCTGCAGTGTGGCAGGCACTGCTAGATGAGATACAAAGATGAGTAAGTTAAATTCTCTCCTGAAGGTGATCAGCCCCGGGGGAGGCGGTGCGCAGACAAACTTGTAAACAGAAATGGCAATAAGGGATGATAAGGGTGAGTTCAAAATGGTCGATCCTTCCAGTATCTGTTTGAGATTACCCGTAGAAACCTAGAACCCTGTAAACAGAAACTGCATCAAGAGTCCAGAAAAGAGTGTTAAGGGCTCCAGGCCAGTTGGATCCCACAGCTGAACAGCCTAGGAACCCTCAGCTCACCAGTGTTTCCTGTGGAACTTAAGAGAAGTGAGGGTCCCTGACTTTCACAGTCTTAATACGCCCTCAGGGTCAAGAGCAATGAGAGGCCATCCCTTTAGTGAGGCTTGTTTCATGTCCCCTTCCTAGGTGACTGCAGAGGGGAAGGGGAACCTATCGTAGGGTAGACCCCCTCAAACATGAAAGGGAAAGAGTGCCAGGCTAGGACAGGAGCACCCTAGGCAGGGGACTAAGGCAAAAGAAAACTGCTTTTTTACCAGCAGCAAGAGAATTCAGGCTAGAAAACAGCGTTGTTTTTGTTAACATATCCCCTGCAACTGCAGTCTGGTGCCGGTGTCTTGGGCCTCCAGGACAAAAGCCTGCCCCTCAAGCTGCAACGGGGAGCCATCACCTTGGGCTTCAAAAGGACAAAAATGTTTCCACATTTAGGAAACTACCTCCCCCAATCCTCTTCCCTTCCTATTTGAACAATAGTGCTTAGAATCCTTGCCTTCAGGGTAAAGAAAAAGGACAAAAGGGGGAGGGAGGCAAGGTAGGTTCAGAGACCACCTCTAAACTGTCATACAAACAGGACACTGGTGGATGATTCTGGGCAGAAAATGCCCGAGTTCTGCTTACCTACTATCCCTTCTCCGTCCTGGTCCCCACTGACTCGGGGAGCCTTTGGAGGAAGGAATTAAGACTACTCTACTCCAGTCACATACATCCCAGGGCCCCCAAAATGCTCCTCCTGCTTTCTTACCCCATACTGAAGGTAGGGAGGGGAGGCAAGAGGAAAGAATTCTAAGACTTAACATGCAGCTGAGAGAAGTTGAGGCACAGCACGGGGCAGGGGAGCACCCTCCTAAATGCTCTCTCTAGGGGGCCCTTCCTGCTTGCATTCTAGTGTCTTGAGAAGGGAGGAGGGGTTTCCTGTTGGGAACGGGTCTGGAGATGGAGGGTGGACTACAAGAGAGGATATTTCAAAGACTATACCTCCTAGAAGAAACTTAAGCCTCTGACTGCTCTAGATGTGAGCAGATTTGATGACCAAAGGGACGGGAATAAATAGGAGCACTCTCCAAAAAGAACAGTCATCTCCAGAGGAGGTCAGAGGGTCTCCTCGTTCACAGTTCTCTGCTGCTGCCCAAGGGCTGCAAAGTGACAGACAGATGTAGGAATAGCAGAAGATGGGTAGGGGTGACATTAGATTACCATCCCCCCCATTGTCCCAATCAACTATTCCTATGACCAGGAATCCTGCCTCTCTTCTCAGATGCCATCAATCCCTAGGTCCCAGGTCCCTGCCAATGCCTGTCCTGGCTCTCCATGCCTAGTTCTCCCCGACCTTGTCTAGCACTAAAGCAGCCCCCAGTCTCCCCCAGCCTGGGGAAGTTGGGTGGGTGAGCTTCGGCTCCCTAGCCCAGGGCAAGCTGGAACCCTGAAGGCAGATGGCCAGAGGCACAGAGGTGGCAGCTTTAAGATGGCCGCAGGGAGAAAGCTAACTGCCAAGCCTAACTGGAGAGGAGACTGCCCTCCTAGGAGGGAGGGGAACGCCGTGGTGCTCCCCGTGGCCCTTGAGCCTCTCCTGGGAGCTCCCAGGCGGCCACCTGCGGATGGTGCAGCACTTCTCTGCACCTTAGGGCCAGAGGTGGACAGTGCTGCTCTGATGGGAAGGAGAATAGTCCCTGATATTTCTAGACCTCCTCCTCTCAGGCGCCTCCCAATTTGACTGCTAAGCTTTGCCACCTGTTCAGGTATTTTTAGGGTTCAGTATACAGAGCCAGGAGGGAAAGACTGCCCTGCTGCCACGGAGTCAGAGAGAGGAAGTAAGTCCACACTGAGCGCCCAACTCAAACCCCTTCTTAACAAGTACCCAATTCCACAATAAAGCTGCTAAATAATTCAGCAGCCCTGATAGGAAAATGCAGCTTCCCATGAGCGTACGTTCAGTTAAATGAATGTCTTTAAAGGGGAGGTGGCTATAATGAATAAGTTGGCTGTGATTTAATGTATATAAACGCTAAAAGGGCAAAAACAGCCGATCCAGGGATTGCATACAAAGCAGATAAAGAATTGTGCTGCATGCAGAGGCTAGGAGTTTCAAAAGTCTCCGTATTTCATAAATTTGGATTTCTGAAAGAACACTGTCAGGTTCCTCCCTAATAGTCCTCCCCATTAGACAAACCGTCATATGGATGCAGTGAAATATTGCTTATTTTAAAGCCTTCCCTGCAGGAAAGATACACTTGGTTGTGTCTTAACAAAATATGAAAACGACAATGGAAATTACATACCATTTAATGTAAAACTTTTGATTTTTAAAACGAAATAAATAATCCAGACTGGAATCTAGGTGATATAGAAAAGAAATTCTGGAATTCTAATGGCATCTAATATTAAAAACACACACGTATTCCATAGTAGATAAATATTTAAATTCCTTCCATGTTTAATGAAGGCTTGGAAGGGACTGAAGTACTTTTCAGAACATATTGGCAATCCCCAGGTGAAATTTGATTTCTATATCGGTTATTTTTTGCTCATCTTTCAGAAAAAGGTAGTATGTATCTTGTGCAAGGCAAAATAGTTTTCCCTCTAGGAAACTTCAAATGTAACAAACACTATAAAACGACTACTTCACGTCGGTTCTCTGAAAGGGATTAAAGTATTTAATTTCTAGCTGTACTGTACATTCATTTTACATTATCTTTTAAACCACCAAATTAGAGAGCAGGATTATCTATGGGAAGTGAACTGAAACTGAAAAGGACCGCCTCTAACTATATATTTACAGGTAACTGACTTTCACAAGTGCAATTTCATGTGTGCGGAATGGGGGATAGAGAAAGTGCATGGGATCTCATGCCTAATCATACTGGGGAGCACTCATTTTTAGCCCTGGATTTGATTTCTATTTCAAATTCTATATTAACTTGTCAGCAAATATCTCTTCAACTATATCACTTAAACCCACAGAATGCAAATCTGTGGTTAATAACGGCAGGAAGCCACGGAGAAAAGCTAGTCTGGCATTAGCAAGGGGATTCAGCCACAGTCAAGGTAAAAAGATACCCCAGTCCTGCCTCTCTTCCTCCTGGCTTCTGAGGGACCATTCAGCTCCCCATCAGGTCTCCCCTCTACTTGTTAAAACATCAAATAACACACCGATTATCTAAACATCAGATTTTCTATTTTTATTAAAAACTCACAAATTTATTCAACATGTTTTCTTTCATACAGTGAATGGTCTAATATGCACTGGAGGTCACACAAGCTTAGGTTTATCAGAACAATAAAAGACATATGAGAAATTTAATATATAAAGAAAAAAGTAGCAGCTGTTGACTGCATATTTGACCATAAAATTTAAATATTTTGGACTTTTATTTTAAAGACACAAAAATAAAACCTGTGTGGGTCTATATAAGTCATATTAACAATTCCATGAATGTTCAACAGGACTAAAAATTAGCAAAGATGTTTTTTTTTTTAAACCTTGTAACACTTTTTTTCTTTTTTAACACTTTCTCAAGTTGTGGTGCTAGGCACCTTTACAGTATTTGTGCTATAATTATTCTATTTGGCAAGTGTCTGAATATCATGTTTTCTCTTTGCCTTGTGTAAACAACACCTTTTTACATACTAGCACAGTGAGCTGCGAGCCCTGCAAATCTGTCAGAACATCTACAGGAAAAGAAAATGAACAATTTTGGTTGATTGCTCAAAACATTTTGTTTTTGAACAAGAGGTTTCAAAACAGGATATATTAATAAAACACTGAACTCCTGAATTTAACATTATACGTAAACAGTTGACTGTTTTTAGTTCAATAGTCTTTTTTTAAACTTTTTTTTTTTTTTTTTTTGTATGTGTGAAGGTAGAATACTTTCTTGTACAGTTGATGTTCAAGTCATTTTATTGAGAGGTCTGGCTGGAGACCATCCTATCCAGGGTGTCAGCGTGTATCTGTGTGTGTATGTGTGTATATGTATGTGTGTGCGTGTGTGTGTGTGTGTGTGTGTGTGTGTGTGGAGCTTTGTGAAGGTAGAAGAGTTGATACTGAGGGCTTTACATTTAGAATTTTGCAATTTTGGCAAAAACAAAAACCAAAAACCCAGATAGACAAAAAAAATATATATATATATAGTCCCACCTGATGCACAGCAGGTCGGCGTTTCTGAAGCTATAAGAGTTTGTTGTCGCTGTTCCTGAACACTGAGACAACACTAGGGAGAGATTTCCCAGAGCCAGAACCCTCCTGGCTGGCCCGGGAGCGCCCCGGGCTACTTCTCCTCCCTCGCCCGGCTGTGCCTCTCGGCCTCCCTCCCTGCGGCTCCTGGCGTCACCACCGGCTGTGCGCCCCCGCGGCCGCCGTGGGTGTTCCTGTGCCGCCCTCTGGCCGGGCGCGCACGCTCGTGGAGTCTGTCCCCGCGTCCGGGTCCAGGTGGAAGATGGGGAGAAGTCTGCATTTCCCTTCGGGAGCCCCAGTTCTGCACCTCGACAGCCAGCGCACGGATCCCAGTTCTACCTCCAGGCGGATTTGGATCCTGTTTCTTGTCCCCCTTTCCCATCCGGACTCCCCAGACGGAAAATGGTCCCCGAGGCTGAAGGAAGTGTGTGTGTGTGTTGGGGGGCGTGACTTGCTTTTTATGGTTTTTTTTTCTTCTTTTTTCTATTTTTCTTAAATAAAGGTTCGTTTCTGTACAACCACGCATTCCGCGGACCGTGCGAGATCCCGCTACCACACGGCCGCCTCGTTCATTTCGGGGGGGTGAGACAGGTGGTTCCCATAGCTCGCCCCGCCGTTGACCGACAGCGATGAGAAGGGTGGGCTGGGCCCGAAGACCTCGGCCGACATTGAGTGTAGAGGCCCGGGCAGGCTGGGCTCAGGGCTGGGCGAGTCCCCGGGGGGATGCGCCAGGATGTCAGTGAACCGCTGCGCCTCGCTCGACGGGTGGTGGCCGGGCAGCGGGTGCTCCAGGCCGCCCAGAGGCGTCCCGGAGGGCCCGGACGACGGCACGAAGGGCAGGTCCACTGGCGTCTGAGCCTGCGAGGACGGGGGGCCTTGCGGGAAGAAGTCGTAGTTGCCCCCGGGCCCATAGTACTCGCTCTGGTAATCTGCGGAGCAGCGGGGAGGAGGAGGTCAGGGCGGAGGAGGAAGGACGAGAAAGGCAACTCGGGGAACTCGCTGTTGGGGGCTCCCCCGCGGGGCTGGCAGCGGAGGGAAGCCTGGTGCGAACACTGGAGCTGCTCCCTACCAGCCCACCCGCCTCGTTCACCGTCGGGAATTCGGCCCTCGGTCTCGACTACCGACCCTTGATCGACTCCCCAGCCTTTTCCATCTCTCCCCCACTCGCCACTTCTCTAAAGAAAACCAGGAGCGCCTCCTGCACTGCCACCCGCTTCCAACGAAGCCAACCCCGGCTGGCCGCTCCCTGCCACCCGGCAGCACACTCACCTCCGTAGAAGGAGAAGGGCCCGTTGGGGATGAGCTCGCCCGGCTCCAGGCGGTCCACGAGCGGCCGCATCCGGCGCGGACTGCGGAAGAAAGCGTGGCGCCGGGCGCCCAGCGCACTCAGCTGCTTCATCCTCCGTTCCTTGGAGCGTCTGTTCTGGAACCAGACCTGAAGCACACACGCGGCGAGGTGAGGCCCCGACGATCCTCCCCACTCCCCCATCCCCCACTTCGGGTGCGCGGCTGATCGGCCCCTAACCCCTCCAACCGCTAGCTCGTCTCAGGGCTCCGAGTGTGTGTGTGTGTTGTGTTGTGTTGTGTTGTGTTGTGGGGGTGTGTCTCTGAGTAGGGCCGTGCAGGGCGGCCCTTGGAGCCAATGATCTACGGGATTCTCGACTGGGGACCTGGGCAAGCCTCCCTGCCCGACGTGAGGCAGTTGGAGTTGTTTCCAACAGTCACACTATCACAATTACAGCTCCTGGGGCCTCTCCACACACAGATGCTCAACCTCCCCCAATAGTGTTCGACACACGCAGATTCCAATTCACCGTCCCTGGCAGCCCCCTCCCGGCATGATTGTGTCAGAGAACTAAACAGCCTCCTGTTGACACGCAGTCTACCAAGGATAGTGACACCAAAACCCACAATCTCCTTTTCACATCCACGCAAATCTCCCAGTGCCAAATATACTTATCCACAGCCTCTCGCTGACAAGGACGCAGACATGCAAGCTTCCATTCACAAAGCACACGTCAGCACGGCCCCCCGGGTGCTGCAAGGCCTCCCATGGAGGTCAGGCTGCATATGTGTGCCCATGCACACTCAGCCTCCCAGGCACAGCCACCACATCCTCGAAGAGCCCCCGCAGGTGAACCTAACCTTGGGCGGGAGACTCAGGCCCAAATCACACGCAGCCCCAAGTCCTCACAACACACTGGCACAGATGCCCAGATGTCCACCTCCCCTCCCTATCCCACTCTAGACCGCCAGAGGCTGAGCTGACTCCAACCCACACCTTTTCCCCCTCAAACCAGGATGCCCTATCTCTCTTTGGAGAAGACGTCTCTGCTCTGGGGCTTGTCTAACTGAGGCAAGAGATCCACAAAGTAGGTGGGGGACACAGAGGGAGATCTATGTTGTGGAGAAGCCGGTGAAATTGATTAATTCTGGCATGCTCAGAGACCTCTGGGCTCCTTCCAAACAAGGTGCGTGGTGCAGAAGAAAGGGTCCCGACTCCCTAGCGGTGTCCAACAATGTCCCCTCCTCCAGCCTCATGCTGAACTCCCCATCCCTCCCCTTCTGCCACTACCGTCACCAGCTTCCAATTGGGAAATGGAGGGAGCCTAGGGATTTCCAGATGCCCTATAAAATGGGGCAATATAGCACAGGTCACCCTCCCAGGACTCAGTCCCCTCCTTGAGGCTGGGTTTCCCCAGCTTGGCCTGGGTGCCTGCTTAAAGGAGCCATGTCGGTCTGGATAGGGGGCGGGGGGATGAGTGGCATGCCCAGGCCCTGACCTGGATGACACGCATGTTGAGGCCAGTCTCCTGAGCCAGCTGCTCGCGGATATGGCGCGTGGGCTTGGGAGTAGCAGCGAAGGCCGCCTTCAGAGTTTCCAGTTGCTTCGCCTTGATGGTGGTACGTGGGCCCCGCCGCTTGGCGCCTAGGTTCTGGTCGTCATTCTCGTTGCTGCCCCCTTCCTTGTCTGATACGTTGGCACTCTCTGAGTCCTTGGCATCATCCTGTGACGGGTCTTGGGAGTCTGGAGACAAACTGGGGTCACTGCCCGTGGTGGCTGGGGAGAGGGAAGGGACAGGTGAGCAGTGGCCTCAGTGGGCCTTCTTCCCCCAGGACCCGCCCGCCCCTAGCGAGCTGGGAATTGGGGCCTCACCCGAGTGGAGGCTGTTCTCTTTGGCGACACTGCTGTTGCTTAGGTAATCCTCTTTGCAGACAAATTTGTTCTCATCGATGATATAGAGCTCCTCGCCAGTGGAGAGCTGCTTGTTACACATCATGCAGGTGAAGCAGTTTAGATGAAACACTTTGCTCCGCGCTCTCCGCACCAGGTCGCTAGGGGAGATGCCCTGCGCGCAGCCTGCGCATTTGGTACCGAAACATCTGCGGGATGGGAGAGGACGGGTTGGTGAGGGGCAAGGGGAGAACGGAGGCCAGGAAAAAGACGATAGAGAAAGAGAGAAATAGAAAGTGGAGGAAGAAGAGGAGGAAGAGAGAAAAGAAGAGAGACAGCCAAAAAGAGGCAGAATGCCGACCGAGCAGTCAAGAAGGCAGGAGAGGAGGTGGGGCACCAGTGAAAAGTCAGTGAGGAGATACACACTGTTAGAATGAGAGAGCGAGGGGTCCGAGCTGCGGCCCCCCCACCCCAGCCTCATGCCCAGTGTTGTCCCAGAGGAAAAGAGCGCCTGAGGAAGAAGGCGGCAAGGCGGCGATTGGAAGGGGGAGGGAGGCAACTATTTTCCTATTAGATTCAGAGAACAGTCGAATTCTAATTAGAGCTCCATGTAAACGCTTCCCGAGCACCGCTTTTCTCTCCTAGTGTCGCCTTTCACTGCAGAAAGGGGCGCTTAAGCCGAGGGTTGGCAAGGTCCGGTCCTGCCGCGGGTAAAGAAACAGCCGTGGAGCGCGCAGACGGCTGCAGCTGGGCCGCCGCCACGTTCAAGCCCAAAGCCCCGCAGGTTGGCGCAAGCTAGAGCCACCGCGGGGCTCTAGGTGCCGGGATGCGCTTTGCGGGAGCCAGGCCACTGGGGCCCACTGGCAGCTAGGCACCGTTCGCCGTTCTCCAGTTCGGCTCCAGCCGGTATTGGGGACACCAGGCGCGGCCGGCCGGGGTTCAGAGGCTCAGCCTGCGTTTGCTCCCGGCGATACCAGCCTGCACAGCACTTTTCTCCATGGTTCCCGGCAATCAGAGACATGCTTCCGGGGGCAGCGTTGGGGACAGCGCGTTCTGGGCCTCCAAGCAAAGCGACCCGGATGGCTTCGCACCCCCACCCCCGGCTCCCAGTTTGATCTGTCACCAAAAACTCAGAGGAGAGCAGAGACCAAGTCAGCCGAGTAAACTGGGAGATTTCAAACCAGTACAGAGGAATTAAAATTCGCATTTGCTCCTGTTCTTCTCGGTTGACTTTTGTGTTTGTGTGGATTTCATGGCAAGATAGTGTGTTTAAGAGAATAAATTAAAATGCTAAACGAAGGAGGGGGCGTCTGGAGAAGTCTCCCGGCTCAGAAGAGCCGGGCCTGGTTTTTCGCGGTTTCGGCAAGGAGGTGGGACAAGGGGATGGCGGGCAGTGCCTGGAAGAGCTCCGAGCGGAGCCTGCGCCACAAAGCCGAGGTTTGTGTTGGGCGGAGGCCGATCCTCCCGCCAGCCCAGGCAGCCGGGAAGCGGAGGGGAAAGGTCGTCCCGGAGGCTGGAGCCTTGGGGCATTTCACAGGCAGGCGCGGTTTGCCCAGGCCGGCGCTTGGAGGCAGGCCGGTCGGGGTTTCAAGAACACCCTGGAATGTGCACCATAGGCATTAGGCCAGAGTGTTTCCCTTTCGCCGCCAAGGCAAGGGACTCAAACGCTCCATGCAAAAGCCTCGGCGGTTCCCGCCAAGACCTTTTGGAGACGAAAAGGCAGTGGCAGGGATCTAGCCCGGGCTTCTAAGCTCAGCCTGGAGAGCGAGCAACCTAAGAGGCTCGGAGAATGCCGTTGCTGGAGAGCTCTGTGCAGGGAGGGAAAGACAGGAGCTAGGATTACAACGCCCCGGGCTGTGCTGCCTCCTTCTAAGCTTGGAGGGGCTTCTGGGCTCAAGCGGACTCACACCCTTTCTTCCCAGGCACGTGCAGCTAAGCCGGGACCCACAATTTCCAGGGCGCAAGCAGGGCCGCGTCAGGGGCGCCCAGCGCGCCAGCTGGCGAAGAGGCGGGTGCCCGTGGGACTTGGCTGCCCTCTCCAAGGCTGCTCCTACCGCGGTTGCTTCGGCCACGCTGACCTCTGATCCGAAGCTGGCGGGGAAAAGCCCGCGGGGAGGAAGCAGCAGAGGCGCGCCAGGGAAGTACTCACCGGAAAAAGTCGTTCTTGCAGTAGAGCTTGCCTTCCCGGGAGAAGCACTTCTCGGTCAGGTTGCATTTACATTCACAGCACTGGACGCACTTGACATGCCAGGCCCTGTCCAGCACGTTCAAGAGGAAGCGGTCCAGGATGGGCCTTTTGCAGCCGGCACAGTGCACCATGGTCTTTGGTTTGGTTGGGTGAGGCCGGGAGAGAGAAGAGCAGGTAGAGCCTAGGGAATGACTCCCGAAGACGTCAGCAAGAGCTCCCCAGCCCCTCCAAAAAGAGGAGACACACAGGGGGTGCAAGCCAAAACCCACACCAGGAAATCAAAAGGGGGTGAAAATGAGGCTGATGGGGAGCGGAGGGCACCTCGATGGAGTGTGCAGCCTGGAAGTCCCGGGGCCTTGGGGCACAGCAGCGCCGCTGCAGCTCCTGGGGCGAGGAAGAGTCTCAGGCGGGTGAGAAAGCGGCTCTTCTGCCCAGAGCACGCGGAGGAGTGAAGGTCACCGAGAAAGGCGACGGGAACAGAAATAAATAAAACGGAGTCGGAGAAGGAAGAGGAGGACGCCTCGAGCTCAGGTTGCAGGGAAAGCGCCTTGGAGTTCTCTTGGGCTTGAGGTAGAGCTGTCAGAAGTCAAAGTGCATCTGCTTTTGTCGGGGTATGAGGGCGGGTGTGTGTGTGCCGGGCTGCCTGCCACCGACCGGGATTTCCCCTCCTCTTTTTTTTTTTTTTTTTTTTTTTTTAGGAAAAGAACAAAACGAGTGGAGAAGCTTTGGATCCTAAACTGCCGGCATCGCGCAGCGGGTCCGGACGCGCGGGGCGCCAGCGGTGGGCCTGGGGGGAGGGGGCGGGGGCAGGCCAAGGGAAGAGGGAGGGAGGGAGGGGAAGGCAGGAGGAAGATCTCGTTGTTGATTGTTGTTGCTGCTTAGATTCCCCCCGTTTGGAGAAGTGTTTGTGTCAATCGTGAACGCAGAGGGACAACTCCAGGCGGACGCAGCCAGGTGCGCTTGCTCGCTCCCCACCGCCCCAGACCCGTCACCTCGGCCCGTGGCCTGCCTGGCGGCCTCCGTGTTTTCGGGACGGCCCTCCCTGCTCCCGGACTCCTTCGGGGAGGCGATACGGTCTGGCTCCTCACCGCGCCTGGCCGTGCATCGTGGCTCCAGTCACAACTCGCGGCCGCCCGGGCGCGCAGCCCCGCATCGCTCGGCCCGCGCTCCGGCTGCCTGCGTCCAACCCCACAGTCGCTTGACTTTCTTTTCCTTTTCCCCCTTTTTTCGTTGTGGTGGCAAATCTGGGTTTCCTTTCTAGCCTCTTTCCTTCCTTCCTTCCTTTTTTTTTTTTTTTTTCTTTTGCAGCGGGAGGAGTCGGGGGGAGGGGGAGTAGCTTGGAGAGCTTTGAAAAAACGTCCTGGTGCAGCAGCTACAGTTCTGCGCGGCTGGAACAGCTCAGCAAGGGCCGCTGCTGTCGCCGCCCAGGCCGCAGTTCGTTGCTGGCTGTCCCCGGACAAGCGTCCCTCTGTCCCTGGTCTCCTGGCCCGGTCCGCCGCCCTGGCGCGTCTCTCCCCAGCTCCGGCGGCTCGGTCACTGCTCCTGGCTGTTGGCTGAGCTCTGGAAGCCCCCTCGCCTTAATGCAGCGCCCGCCGACGTCACCGCGGCCTGCGACCAATCAGCGGCTCGCGGTCCCTCTGTAAACCATTCTGCATCCTCCGGCCGGGGAGAGTGCCGGGAGACCGCGTTTAGAGGATCAGTGGCGGCCGCATCCGCGGCCCCGCGCGGTGCGGGCGGCGGGCAGCAAGGTGCCCGAGCCCCTCCTGCTCCGGTAAGGCCTCGGTTTCGATGGGAAGGACTGAGAGAGCGTGGGAGTAGGCGCAGGCGGAGGGCAGAGTACTGTTGGAAGGTGGGATTAATCCAAGGTGGAGCCTTGTTGAAGGTTGGGGTGCAGAAGGGAACCCCGGCGGCCCTGGTGAACTGTTTGACTTTGCAATTCAGCGGGTGTTGGGCTTTTTCTTTTTCTTTCTTTTTCTTTTTTTTTTTTCCTTTTTCCCTCCTCGTGCTTTCTTGGCCTAGAAGTTGGTCCCGAGCACAGCGCGCGTTTTAGCGGGAGTGGAGGAGGGAGGGCCACAGAATCTTCCTCCTCCGGTCCCTCCCTGCCTCCTCCCCCAGTCCATCCAAAGTCCACAGGGTCTCGGTCTCCGGGAGATCTGGGTGTCTGTTCCCCGGAGCGCGGTCTTGGAAAGTTGATTCCGGCGGTTTCCTGGTGGGGGCGGGGGAGACCGGAGGCGCGGCGCCGGGGAGGGGGAAAGGAGTGGGTGGGGAAGCGCCTCGGGTGAGGAGTTGCAACCCAGGCGAGAAGTTGTGAGAAAACTGTGATCCGGAGACACCTTTTACATACAAAAACAAACGACTAGGCGGGAAACGACGGGGCTTCAGTGGCGGCTGGCGGGTGGTGGTACTGGCAGTGGGGAGCAGGGACGTCTGGGGCTCCACAGAGAGGCTGCAATGGATTCGGGTGTGCAGCGCACGGGCTGAGTGGGCCCGGCTTCTCCTCCTCCCCTGTGCCAGGCTCCGGGCTAGCAACAGCTTCCCGAGACAACCTCAGACCACACCCCCTGTAGTTCACCCCTCAAGGAGCCCTTACCTCCCTAATTCCGAATAAAACCTCGGGACCGCTGCCTGGAGGCAGATTATTCCAAACGTGGGGTTCAGGTCCGGGTCCTGAGAACCCTAGCCTCGAAGAGTCACTCTGGTTTCCTGGCTTACGCCAGTCAAATACCAAATTCCGTTTTGATAGCACCATTTCTATGCCAAACTGGGATTTCTCGTGAGGTCTGAAGGTGGCCGGGCTGACCAGTCCTGTTTTTGCTCCTCGTTTTTTTTTTTTTTTTTTTTTTTTGTTGTTGTTGGGGGGGGGGATGCTAAGAAGGCGCATTCAACCCTAGTGTGGAAGAAAATAAGGATGGGCAGCTAGCCGGGTCTAGCTGGTATTTTGGAATTGGCCTTTCGATCCCACTCATGGTGCGGGACTCAGACATCCCACACAAGGGCCCGGGACTAAGTTGGGGGAAATGCGTGCTGAAACGCAATTGCAATGAACCTGAGCCAGCCCGGGATCCAGGTCTCTGCAAATGGAATACCCTCTTCGGACGAACCGGGAAGCCGCTACAGAAAATCGGGTTTGCGCTCTGTGGGAGTGGAGTTTTAGGGCTCTGCCAATGCCCCTTTCCTTCCTTCAAGCTTCCGTCCGTACCACCCTGCAACCCCGAGGCCGCCGGCAGCCTCCACCTTGCCTCCCGCGTCACCTTTTCATTGGAAGCCAAAGCCGAAGTCCGGCGTGCGCCCCTTTGGCGTTCCGCCCATCCTGAACTCTAAATGCGGGGCCTCTAACATCTTCTCCGCACCCTCTCCAAAAACACCTGGGCTGGGGTTCCCCGCTGCGGGGAGGGCGGAGTGTTGGGGCTAGTTATCTCTCTCGCATCAGCCCCCTCCGTGGGCCTCTCTCAGGCCCCGCTCAGGTCAAGAGTAAGATGGGGAGGGCGGTTCTCCAACCCAGCAGGCCGGCTTCGTGAGATCCGACTAGGTTTTTGTGTTCCTCCTGCCGACCCGACGCTCTCAGGAACGAGCGGATCCGTAGCCAGTACTCCAGCTCCCGCGGAGGCGCTAGGAGCTGCTTGGCTCAGGGGACCAGTCTCCTCCACCCTCCCCAGCCCTCTGCATTGGGTGAGACCCGCGGGGAGGGGCTGGTCCAGTCGAGCCGTCCCCCACGCTCCCTCCCTCCCCCAGCTGTCCTGGTTCTCGCCGCTAGCGCCCTCGACCCAACCGCCCCTTTCTGGAATCTAAAGCCGTCAGAGTCCCAGGGGCTCAACCCCCGCCCCTGTCCCAGCTGGGCTCCTTCTCATGCAAAGCAGAGGGGCCGCGGGGGTGGAGGGCAGTCGACGGAGACCTACGGGGCGACAGCTGGACCCGGCTGCCGGCCCTTCCTGAACCCAAGGCCCCCTGTCTTCTTTCGGGTGGAGAGGAGGGGGCTGCTCCACCCGTTTGGGGGTGCTGTGATCTTGGGACCTCGACGCGGGGGAAAGAGGGCCCCTCCCTGCGGGCGGACCAACGGGATAGGGGAGTTGAGGACGAGAACGGGCCGGGGGCTCTGGGGCATCAGGCTCTGCTTGTCCCTGTGTCCAGATGGTTCAGTAAATAGGTCTGCGGGAACCAACCCCAGCGTCTACCAGGGAGTCCCGGAGCGCAGCTCTAGGCGCGCCTCTTAGCTCCCGATTCTAGGTTTAAAGTCCAGACTGAACGCCTCCACGGGGACAGCACACCATATTAATGTGTTTTTTTTTTTTTTCGTTTCCATTGAGCTTTTATTTTAAAATATATTTGGTCGCACAGTCATGGAGAGAAAACTGACCCAGCTTTCCAAATTAGCCGCCTCTGAAGCCTCTCAGCCCAGCTCTGCATTTAAACCAATGGCTGCTCGGCGAAGAGCACCAACCTTCCCTTCTTACCCTCACCGCCACACTTACTGCCAGCGGCCTGAAGTACACAGCGCTTCCCTACGCAAGGACCTCCAAGTAGCGCAGACCCACAACCACGCACACCGCCCCCAGGGCGCGGAAGCTCTAGGCGCGGTGCTGTGAGGGTCAATTTCGCCGCCAAGTCTTCGCTCAGTGGCCGCGGAATTCTTTCCACCGCATCCCCAGGCTCTCTTGGAAAAGGTCCCAGGGGCCAGGCAGCGGCTTTTACGGTACGAGCTTTCCTCCAGAGAAGCGCCTTGAGGGTCCCGAGAGGCGGGACCCCGCTGGGGAACTGGGGACGGAGCGGGTTCTGCTAGCCCTCCCCAGACGCCCTGCAGGTTGGGGGGATTGATGGCGCCCTCTCCTGCATCCGCTTTCCTCCCGTGAGCTCCGTGGTTCCCAGCCCCAGATCGCCTTGCTTCCTAACGTTCCCGAGCGGCTCGCGTGGCCCAAGGACCCGAGCCGGCCCGGCACCTTCAGCTGCTGTAGATGCGAGAGTGGCGACAGCCCCTGGCGGCTCCCCTCCTCGCCCAGCCGGCTCCCGTGCAGCCCGACACCCCCAGAAAAGCGCGGTGAGGCCGTGAAAAGAGGCGCTTGCGGAGGCGCGGACTCTAGGAGGTTAACAGCGCAGGGTTTCTGGCCTGGGGCGCAACCAGCCTCGCAGGGTCAGGCA